TTTCATTTCCCCTATATAAAATTGGTGTGTTACATATACAGGCTGTTACAAATTCGCTTCTCACTAGAGGGATCTCGGAAACGGTAAGAGGTACGAAGTAGCTTAAATGGGGGTAAAGTTTCATAATCAGTGGATCAGTTTTCGAAATATTTGAAAAAAAAAACGAAATTTTGGAAATCCGTTTTTGTTTGATTTCGACCTTGTTCGAGGTGATATACAAAAAACAGGGACACTTTCTCAAGGCCACTTTTTGCCCTCTATCGAATGGCACAATAAATTTTTATATGGAACGTTTCGTCTTTCCAGGACCATCATCAACTTCATTTTTTTAAATATGACCCTGGAAATGTTATTACATTTTTTCCAAGCCCCCAATACTGTACTGCCTCAGCCCAAACCAGATTCAGACGTTTTCTCTCGAAAAATTCATCTTCAGTGTATTTGTGCCAAATTTATTTAGATTTTTTTGTTTATTGAATTATCGTACACTGTACGTGTCGTTAGACCCTGTGAAGTCCATCTACTTATTTAAAATAAAGTAGTGGTATTAATTTTCAAAATTCAAGTTTAAAAGTTCCTAAATAAAATATTTTATTAAAAATTTTCAGTTTCCCTTGCTAGGGATTCCTGAGGAACATGTCACCTTCCTTCTTCCAATGCTCTCACGAGGGGAAGGTGGCGACCCACTTCCTTTCCAGCCTCAGCCAGTCTTCTGCTTCAATGACCTTATAGCAGATATTGGAATCCTCCTCTCCCCCTAAAGGCTATGGCAGCGTGATTCTCCATATGTCCTACTTTCCAACCAACTGCATCCTTTATCCTTAGGTATATTGCCATCACCTCCCTCACAATCCATGTGGGGAAAGTCAGCAACCCTAGGAGGACCTCTCGTGTAGCTATTGGAGTTCTCCTCATTGCTCCTGTAAGCAGGCAAGCCTTTGGATCTTCAATAGCTTTCTGGTTACCGTCACCCAGTTCACACTCGCCCACTAGACTAAGGCTGCATACGCAGACTCAGTCTGACTACCACTGTGCACACTAAGTGAAGTACCTTTGGATTGAGGCCCTAATTTTTGTCCATTATTTTCCTTAATTGGCAGAGGATTGAAACTGATTTCCGTATGATCCTTTCAACCTGTGGTCCCCAAGACAATTTACTATTCAAAATAAAACCCAAGCATTTCACTTCCCCAACCAGAGTTAGGGTACGTATTCCTCTATATTGGGATACTGAATTTGCCTATTTTCCTCCTC